TAGGATGGATGGATGGATGGATGGATGGATGGATGGATGGATGGATGGATGGATGGATGGATATAGGATGGATGGATGGATGGATGTAGGAATATAGGATGGATGAATGGATGGATGGATGGATTATCCAAAGCCTCTGTGAGGGTTATAACACACAACTGCTACACAATAGATCTCTGTCACTCACCTGTCTGCATATGTGTGTGTGTTTGTGTGTTTGTGTGTGTGTGTTCTCGCAGGAGCACAGCTTGGCAACCAGTGGAAGCAGCCAAGTGCTGTCAGAGTTTGAGGACTTCAAACAGGATCAGTCTCGGATCAGCCGGCTGGAGAGACAGGCCCAAGACTTCCTCAATGCTGTGTTCCACAGAAAAGGTGAAGCACGCCTTCTTCCACCAAGAAATACCACTGACACTAGGGATTTCCTGATCCAGCTTTTTGCACTTCCAATCCAATCCCGGCCTATCAGAGCATGTTTTAAAGTTTAAAGTTATTTATCTGCTTACTTAGTTGTCAGACTCATGTTGAACAGGGATTTACTCTGATAACAACTTAATGGTTAGGACACAGACCTGTGGGTTAGGAGATGCTAATGCTAATGCTAATGCTCGTGTGGGATGGGATTAAAAAAAAACTGGATTGGGAGTATGGATCGGCATTTTCTCCTGCCGACCGATGCGCATTTTTTTGCGAATATCGCATTTTTTTTGCGATTATCAGCGGCCAATCCGATCCAGATATCGGATCGGGACAAGCCTAACTGACACCAAAGGCTTTTCTGGAATACAAGACAGACTTAGAAGACAGTCATTTGGTTGGATAACATCCCAACCAAAGTGAAGCTCAACCCTGATCTTTGCTTCTAAAAATGATCACACACAATCTGAATCTTTTCCAGCTTCACACACATGGTGAAACAAGCCTTACTGAAGGCCACAAAGGGAAAGGGTTGAGGGAACTGGCCCAGGGAAATGGCTCTGCCTTCCAGGTTTGGGGATCCAAATTGAATCCGGGTAGTTGCAAATGTCAAACATATTCAGTTTTCCTCCGCAAACCTGATTACCGGTGATCAGAGAAAGGAAACATGTCTCTGAATGTGACATTTGAATAGTGAACTCCTCTATCTTCTGGGGGTTTTGGAGGCCAGCAGAGAAGATCGGACCTCTCACTGATGGCGACGTGATCCAAAAGTCTCTGGGACGTTAGAGTCTTAGCGGAGACTTGAAACGGTCTGTACGGTGCTCCAGTTTTTCTGGGGACCGCTGGAGCCCGAGGGACCAGGTTTAGTCGATGACCTGGTCCCTCTCCACCTCGAGCTGGCCTAATCCCTGCCGGTAACCTAGTTAGCCGGAGGTTTGATTAGATTTCCGTGTTTCATCGCGTTTTAGCTGTCCTGATTGGAGTTTAGGTACATTTGGTGCTCAGGAACATCGCGGTCTGCACCTCCTCATGATGTTGTCTAGAAATCTAAAAATCAGTGGATATTTACTTAGCTGTTTTTAAATAGTCATTTTGTGAGGTGACTAATTTATCTTATTTTTAATCTATTTTATCTGACACATGATAAGCTCTAGTTACTCCGTCATCTTTTGGGAAAATTGCTATTTCCTGTGGTGTTTCATTAGATTTTAGTCGCTTATGCATTTGGACATAAAGATGATATAGATAAGAAAGACCATCTTCCTCCAGTTCATACACTTTACATTTCAGGATATGAATATCTGACCCTCAGCATAGCTTAAAAATTAAGTAAATATGAGGGGGAAAGGATTCTAAAGATGTAATTATGGAGTTTAAAACAAAAGAACACAAATCGACCGAGGTGTAAAAAACAATTTAAACTCAAATAGATGTATTTAAAAAGGCCCAATGGGAATCCCAGACATTTGTCATCTTTGACATTTCTGGTACCTGATTTTTTTTTCAATGAAACTATTTTCTATTTCCTACAATTTCCCTTTAAGGGAAAATTGGTCAGGGCTCTTATGTGTTTAGTGACTTAACAACCCTTTAAAGGGAAACTCATTCAAATACTGGAGGCCATTATTGGAGGCCATTATTGAGTCCTCTGACCCCTGCTGATTGGCCGGTGAAAGTCACATGCTTTTATCCAGCCGCCACAGCACACTTGGGTTCCATTTAAAGTATGTGAAAGTGATCAAATATGGCTCCTCGCACTAATAGGGGTTAATCAGTGCCCGGGGGGGACGGTGTTTAGTTGGAGGGCCACACGGGGACGGAGACCAAACAACTTCTTTTTTGGCCCGCCATTAAGCTCATTTCTGCAGGAGGGGATTATGTGGCCGCGATGAAGGGTGGAGCCCAGAAGTCACACCGCATTGTCAGAGGATTAATGGCATCGGGTGGCAGCGGCCGTCCAGGCCATGAGTTTTTCAGATTTCTCAGGGGTTTGACGACCTGGGGGTCCAGTTTGTTAACAGTCTGAGAATGAGTCTGAGAAAGCGTATTCTTTAGATATCAGAAAAAGGAGAATTTTCACCTTTTGGCTGTTTAACTAAGGGTTTTGTGTCCTTCTGCTCCTTTTGTTTTACCTTTGTCATCATCCTCTTTGCTGTTTTCTGACCGTTGTTGCTCTTTCAGCAACAATCCCATCCATAACTTCCTAAAACTACCAGAAACTCTCCATTTAAATGGTCGTTTGAAACTTGATCTTTTCACCTAGAGTTGTTTTTCCAAACTACAAAAGACTACTGTCAAGTTATGTCTGGTTTCTAGCTTCAGCTCCTGCCCAAATTTGAAAAAAAACGGCTGGTCATCACCAAAAAGGACGCTAAGCACAACTCAAATCCTTTTCCATTGTCTTATATTCGTTGAATTTGATGATCAGATTTTCTGATTTAAGACTGGAATAAGGATTGGGTTGAAAACCAGTTGTGGATCTGGTGATTGGACCGTGAGCTGAACCTGATTGGCTGAGAGCGCAGGTGTTTTAACCACAGGAAGGCCCACACAGGAAGTTCCCGCCTCACCACAAGTTCACTACTCTTTTTTTTTCTTTTCCTACTTTTTCCTCTTTTTTGACGTTTGACATGACAATTCCGATGGTAGAAAACAACGTTAAGGCCTTAGAAGCTGTTGGTCAGAGGACTGACCACGGCTTTAAAAGTCACACACCTGCTCAGCGGTCAGGATTATGAGCAGCACGTAATGAATGTGTGATTTTTGGATTATATCCGCACATTTTGAGGATTATATTTTTGGGCTAATGTATTATTTGAAGGATTTAGGGTCTGATTCGGTGACATCGAATTGTCCAAATAATGTAACTGGTTTGGAAGAGATAAGTGCACGGGAATTATCTGGGACAATGTGAGATTATTGCATTATCAGAGGAGGGTGGTCGTCGTTCTGCCCGGCGTGTTTTAACCCTGAGATCAATTGGGAGCGTTGGGTCGGAGTTTGTTTTTCTCAGAGCAGATTTTTCGCTTTATTTCCTCCTCATTTTTTGTCGGACTCCGAGAGATCATTTCGTTAATGAATTGTTTTTCGCAGAATAATTTAGAGGATTTTATTCAAGTGAATTTAATGAGGCGCAAACCGATACTTATCTTGTAGCGAAAAACTATTTAGTACAAACTAGTTTATGGTGCGGGAATTAATGAAAAATCACCGGATTCCTCATAATATTCTCTCATTTTCTCGGTTGGAATTAATAATGTGTTGTGATGGTTAAGAATCTAAAGTACTCATTTATTTTAGATTCGTCGGTGATGGCGAATGGATGAATGTAGCTAGCAATTACTCTCATTATCTCTGAGTCTTCTGCCTGGCTTTGCTATTTAAATGTTTGGTTCGCAGAGCTCTCATTAGATTTACCGACAGACACGGAGTCTTATGTTTGTGAAGACTTTTGAAAGGAGGCAAACATCTACTCGGCACGAGCAAATAAAAAGACGGGAATGCTGGAAAAATTCAGTCGGAGGCTTATGTTTCCCGAACGTATTAGTTGAAATTGTGCGGGAGGAGAATGAAAACAAAGGGGTGGAATTCCTGAAATAGAAAATGTCCAAATCCGAGGACCAGCAGGCAATAATCTGCTGTATACACTGATATCATGGAGCTTTCAACATGGTCAATAGGCAGGATTAAGCCCAGCTTCGGGGTGATTTTTGGATTATTTCTGCATAGCATCGGGATTATATATTCAGGATGTAATGGTAGAAGTAAGCAGCTGAGCATGCCAACGACTGCTCTGATTCCTCGAGGACGGGTCGGTGACGTTCTGCTCCTCTCTCTTTTTGTCTCCCCCCCCCCCCCAGACCTCCCCAGTTTCTCGGACCCTCACATTCCTCTAGTGGCTCGTGAGATCATGCAGCGAATGATCCGCCAGTTCGCTGCCGAATATACCTCAAAAACTACTCAGGACGACCCGCCCCCGCCCAACGGCACCATGAAGGACCAAAGCCTGCCCAGGGCCCCGCCCGCCGCCGCCGCCACCCCCCCGCCGCCGGCATCGTCGGCCTCCTCCTCCCCGTCCCCGGACCCCGGGCCGGGCCTCAGCCCCGCCTCCTCTGCTGCTGTTTCGGCCCCCCCCTGCGTCCAGAGCAACAACGCGACAGAGACCCCCGGCGAGGAGGGCGGGGGAGGGGGGGGAGGAGGCACGGCCGCTGCCTCTGCACAGAACCCCGTCCTCAGCAAGCTCCTCATGGCCGACCAGGACGGCCCGCTGGACCTCACCGTTAAAAAGAGCCCCGTGGATCCGGAGCCCTGCCAGCAGGGTGAGATAGCAACCCCCAACCCCCTCTAACCTTAGGCTCCTACCAACCTGAGTCAGAGGTTAGTAGGAGCCTAAGCTAATGGTAGTCCGATGTTTGGTGTTTTCAGTACAAAAAAAGGAGTGGTAGCGGGCCGACGGCTAAAGTTCACATGACACCCATCATGTAGCAACGGGTCAAATTCAGGCCTCCCATCTTTGATTCTGTTGTCAAGTGAGGAGAGACAGTTTCCGCCACAGATCAGACCTTCCTTTGGTCCAGAAGGTACTCAAACAGGACCCAGAGGTTTTTAATAAACTCAAAAATGCACTCGCAAGGAGTGGATGACAAGGAAAAGTTCAAAACAAGGCAGACAAAAGTATGAAAAAAGTAGCAAATAATAATCACTCATAAACGAGGATGGCCAAAAGGCTTTGAAACAAAGTAACAAAATAATACTCACGGGAGTCAGACAAAATTAGGAGGATCAAAAAACAAAATCACTCTTTAGAGGTATAACAAGATTCAAGGCAAGGTTTGGTTCGAGAAAAAGGTTAATGCTCAGTATAGGTCAAGAGATGAATGACGAAACAGACTGGCACCAGACAAGGACACTATCGACTTTTACTGTTATGCAGATGATACTCAGTTTTATCTATCGATCAAGCCAGATGAAACTCATCAGCTAGCTAAGCTTCAAACGTGTCTTCAGGGTGTTAAAACCTGGATGACCGGCAATTTTCTAATGTTAAACTAAGATAAAACTGAAGTTGTTGTTCTAGGGCCTAAGCACCCTTGAAAGCATTACATAGAGATATACAGTGGGGGAAAAGAACAAAGAACGTAACTTTAATCATATGTACATTCTAACAGTGAAAGACAGAATCCCAAAGAAAATTCCAGAAAATCACATCATATGATTTTATAAAAATTGATAACCATCTGATGAGGAAACAGAAGCATTATTTGTAAGTGGGCAAACCTGCAAAATCAGCAAGGGGTCAAATACTTATTTCCCCCACTGTAATTTCCCTGGAAACTGATCAGGATATGTCGTTTAATTCTCACATTAAGCTAATTTCAAGAACCACCTTCTTTCCCCTACGGAATATTCCAAAAATCAGGAGCATCCTGTGTAAAAAATTATGCATAAAAAACTAGTCCATGCATTTGTTAGGTCTAGGCTGGATTATTGCAACTCCCTATTGACAGGCTCTTCAAAAAAAGTCCATTAAGACTCTTCAGCTGATCCAGACAATGCAGCACGTGTTCTGACAGGAACCAGTAAAAGGAATCATATTTCTCCTGCTCTGTTGGAAAACGCTGTGAGATAACTGTTATAACAGTATAAATGGAATTGAATTTAATTGAATTGAAAGATTCAGTGAATTGGCGCACGGCTCCGTGACGCGGAGCCCTGAAAAGTAGCTGTCAGTTTTAATCAAAGCAAACCAGCAGGGGGTCCCAGTGTGATCACAGAGAGGCCGGCGCTCTGCGACCGGTCACACACTTTAACAGGGGCTTTTTGAAATCTGCTTACAGTAAGCCTCCTCGTTTTTTTTGGAGCCGAAGTCCGGGCTTTCACGCGCTCGCTCAAAGATACGCAAACACAGAACTGGTTTCAAAAGAATTCTGTTTCAGATTATCCTCCAAGCAGGATCACGCACACGCTGCACCCCTTTAAATAACAGGGTAAACGGGATTTATGGTGAGGAAAGGCTGGTCAACATGGCTGCTAACATTTGCAGCACGCTTTGGCTCGCTGAACACGCTAATGGGGCCACAACGTGCTTGCGTGCTACCTTACCTAAGTTAAGACACCTGTAAATTTATTTAGTTGTTAGCTCACAGATCGGCCTAATTTCTTTTCTCTTAGTTTGATTCCCTCACTTCACGGTCCTGAGTATTTCTGAGCAGGAACTTTACACACCTGCTCTTTGGACCGCTCCTCACTTGATCAACCTGACCAGATTAATACTTTCCAGTGTTGGAAATTATTCTTAATTAGAATTTAGCATCTTAAATATTAGACACCTTATGTTCTGTCTCCACGGAGGATAGTCTGGAGCATGCCCAGTGTTGCTAAATTCAATAACAAATAGATAAAACCTTTTCTTTTTTTTAGGCAAAGGTCTAAAAAAAAGAAATTACTTTTGCAAATACCTGTTAGACCAATAAGAAGTAACAATCTGAAAGCTGTGAGGTTAAGTTGCAGTACAAGCCAAATGTGTTTGCTATACGTAGTAAAAGCCTCTTTAAGAACCCCTAAAAAGCTTCTCAGTCTGCACATAAATTGTATTTGAAACTCATTGTATAGTGAAATAAGTTTACCGTGTTTGATTTGTAGTACTTACTCGGGTATGAGTTTATGCTTTTTGATTTTCGATGAGTAACACCTAACATTTTTACAAACTTCTCAGGCCTACATGTTGAGTGCGTTTCGAGGGCAGTGAATGCATCAAGCTATGTGGTGACATTTGAACTTTTTTCCCCACCTCTGGTTATCCTTAGATGGTGTCCTGGACCTCTCCACCAAGAAGAGCCACAGCGGCGGCACCCCCAAAACGTTGCCCAGCTTCCCCCGAGCAGCGGAGGCTAAAGGGTGAGAGAGGAGGGGGGGGCAAAGAGCTCATCCACACACCCACTAGCCCACCACTTTACAACCTATACGTGAGTCTGTCTGTAGCATCTGGAAGCCGGGTGAGCAGAAGCTGGACCTCTGGAGAAGGAAGCCTGTCCCCTTCCTGTCTGATGGAGGGTTCTAGGTTCTAAGCAGTCCTGGCTCTGTTTGTTGGATATTGGATGTTTTCAGGTGGAGAAACATCTGGACTTCCAGGAGGTCAGAGTAGACGCAGGATGTGGTTTCACATCATTAAAGTCCGATCAGATCCATGTTTTCCAGCGCACCAATTAAAATTATCCATTCCACTTTGCTGTGTTGTTCCCTAATGTCCGGTGCGGTCATTTTCCAGCACAGCCTAACACACGAGCATTAGCATCTCCTAACCCACAGGTCAGTGTCCTGACCATTAAGTTGCTATCAGAGTAAATCCCTGTTCAACATGAGTCTGACAACTAAGTAAGTAGGCTAGATAACTTTAAACTTAAGGCTGGTATCGGATTGGAAGTGCAAAAACTGGATTGGGACATCTCTAGCACCTTTCTAACCAACAGGGAATACCGGGCTAACGTCACCTCCATGCGATGTTTAACAAAAAGCAAAACAGCAATCACAACGCAAGTGGTTCTTTCTTTCGGTAACTGCTAAACCAAGCTGGATCAAACAAGCTACTAGTGGTGCCACAGAAACTACAGAGTTCAGCAACAAAGCACCTTGAACGTTATTCAGAGTTTTACAGATGTATCACTTCTTATTTGCCCTGTCCATTCAGCCACTGCTCTGCTTATCTGAGCTCCGGTCGCCTAGGAAACAGGTCCAGAAACCAGCCTCTCACTCCTACCAGACATCCGTTCTCCAGCCTCTCCTTTTGGCCACTTAGCTACCGTGTTGTGTCAGTCGCTATCAAAATATCAAGGCGAGAGCTGGAGTCAGAGCAACTGGCAGCTCAACAGAAAATCTCTCCTGGCACACAACAGAGGGACCAGACCAGTCTGTAGATAAGAATGATAATAATTCACATGGTAATAATGAATAGGGATAGTAACCATCAACTGTGCGTTGATTTTGGATGCAGTCATCTTCACTTTAGGATTGTTTTCCCTGAAGTAAAAAAAAATAGACAAAAATGAGCTCTTCAGTGATTGAACCTGATTCCACTGTTTAGTACAGCTTGAGACGGCCCACTGTGCTAATCGGCCTTAAAGCTCCTGCTGAGCGCTCCCCCCCCTCGCTGTCACCCACTCTGTGGCTCAACAGAATACATCTCCCGTAGAGCTACAGTGTTTCATGAGTGTTTTCTCCGACCATCCGAGTTCCTCCTTATTGTAATGATCTTATGGGAGTGCTTTTAAAAAAGCCTTCCCGGTGTTGCTATAGTTACATGCCAGCAGATGTATAGGAACTTAGACTGTAAACATGTCAGAGAAAGAAAAACTTAAATGCAATATGTTCATAGATCGTCGCAACGTGGTTTAAGGCTGTAAGACTATGACCTCAGTCTTTATTTATCAGCATAGAGAATCCAATATGAAGTAGACAAGGAAACCACACGGACCTCATGTAGTGCAATGCATCTAAAAAAAGCTTTTAGATTTGGCTCACAGTCCATGACTTGGGTTTCTTGTTTCTTCCCTCTTCATCCAGACATTTGCTGAAAGCAGAACATGTCCTGTCAGAGGTGGAGGAGGAGGACAGCCTGCTTCAAAGGAGTTTGCAGGACGGACTTAGAGAGAACTACGGGGAATCCTTCAAGCCCCCGCTGGCCCGATCGCTGCGCATCAAGGAGGAGCTCTTTGGCCAAAAGCACCGGCTTCTGATCCAGCCTACCACGCTATCGTTGGCCAGTCTGGAGGCAGCCGGCTTGCTAAAGCACGGGCAGTCCCACTCTCTGCTCAACCAGAAGAGCTCTCTGTCTATCTGGGGTCACAAGAGCCAGCCTGAAACCCTGATGAAACTCAAGCAGGCCGGCGGAGCCCTGAGCGACCTCAAAGACTTGCCTACATTCCTGGAGAATCACCACCTCAACCACCACGGCGCCTTCTCCTTTAAGAGTTCTCTTCACCACCACAGCCACAATCAAGTCGCAAAGGCCCAACACCACCACAACGAGGGCAAGAGAGACCAAGGCCACTCACCGCCCGTCGACCTGAAGATCCCTCAAGTTCGGGGCATGGATCTGTCCTGGGACTCCCACGCCTCTGACATCTACGGTTACGGCGCCATGGGGGGAGGCGGGGGTGGCCACGGGGAGAACACTCTGAGCCGGAAGCTGAGAGCCATCCTGCCGAAGCAGAATCGCCGGGGGGGGAGCCTGGGAAGCCTCCTGGACGGGGCGGCCGAGTACTGGAGCTCCGACCTGGACCATTCCAGCTCCGGGCCGGCGTATTCCATCTCCGACGTGGAGGGGGACCCCAGCTCCAAGCAGCCGAGGAAGAAGAGGGGCCGCTACCGGCAGTACAACAGCGAGATTCTCGAGGAAGCCATAGCAGTAGTGATGAGCGGGAAGATGAGCGTGTCCAAGGCACAGAACATGTACGGCATCCCACACAGCACCCTTGAGTACAAGGTCAAGGAGCGAATGGGAACCCTGAAAAACCCCCCAAAGAAAAAGCTGAAGCTGATGATGAAGGTGGAAGCAGGTAGCCAGGATTTCCCCACCGAGTCAGAGAACATGCCCTCCACAACCCCGCAAGACGACGGCCTGCCGCTAGCAGCTGCCGAGCTCAAGGACAGCGTAAAGGAGGAGATCGATGACAACTTCAAACCAATCGACTAAATCACTCACACACGTTAACCTCAGTCACATTAGGAAATTGAGATATGGATGGGGCTTTATTTGTGCCAATTACTTTGCAGTATCTGGGTGAGCACAAATGCAGGGATAAAATGAGGAGGATTCTTAAAACAAACTGGAAAGAAACAGCTAATCGGACAGTTTTGAAGCAGCTTCACCCGTTGAAGCTGAATGAGCATTTGTTAGGCTTTTATATCCAGGAGCATAACAAATGCAACTAAAGACGTTAATTAAGTGACAATTAATGAAATTACCTTAAGCATGCTGATAATCCCCACCCAAAACCCCAACCTCTCTTTTCTGAACTTCACACACTGACCCCTCGCTGCTTTTAAATGCAGTCTGGGATTTGGAAAAATTTGATTTTTGGGGGAAAAGTTGAGGGAAAGTTGCAAATTCAAAAAAAATTATTCCCTTTGCCACTTCCCTCTCTTATGGAATACTAGCTGGAAATTGGTAAGTGAACTGTCTATTACATTTTAAACCCACCATAAGGTTTAATCATGCCATTGGTATTCCTCACAAGGGTTCTGAATCAAACCCATTCTCGTATTGCCAGGTAGCCATAATGCTTTAACTGCAGACCTTTTGTTTCCTCCTTAAAATATTCTGCTAATCTATGTGTGGATGTAAGCAAGATTAACCCGTCCTCTTCTGAACGAGGGAAGACACAAAAGTCATTCAGGGATGCATGTTTGTGAGTTTTGTGGACACTAATGACTTCTAGAAGCAACTTCTTTTCCTCTATCTTTTCGTTGATTTGTTTTGCTTTCTTTTGCACTACACTTTGGGTCTGGTGCTTACAGACCAGGTTACCTCGGCATTGTTGCCCATGCATCATGCACTTATAATGGTCTGTTTTTGAAGCCCAGTCACAACCTTGCAACGGGTCAGAGGTACAATTCGCCTGCATATGCTGATTCATATTCAGATGAAATCGCCCTCTTTTTTTCGCCAAGGGACAACTTGAGGGGTACTCTTGATATGGATCAGTTCTTTTTAAGGTGGGATGCTACCTCAAGGACCTCCATCAGTCTGTCACTGCTGATCCTGGAAAGGCGGAGCCATCGGAAAGTTGCCCTCCAAATGGTGACCAACGCGAGCTCGACCCCTCATGGAAATCTTGTTTGGAAGGCAGCCTCTTAGGATCAGAATGTGAAACTGTGCTGCTATCCAGTTCATTATCTAGCTCCTAACAAGGCTTTAGCTAGCCCAGGCTAACTAATTTTAGCTTGTCTTAGCTAATAACAACATATTGCTGATATTTGTTTTTTTTTTTCTAATGATACTAAGCTCATGCAGCTTAGATGAGAAATCCATCTCCCTCAAACTTTTAGATGGTTTTAAAGGCAGTTATGTTTTAAACAATGTGCATTTATTGAGGGGGTTTTCCTTTTGGGTTGGTGGGTGGGTGATATGCAGTGGGGAGGTTTAGCTGATAGGAGAGGAAAAGGCAGATTTTAATATATTTTAAGTTATTATGACTGACTATGTAAAAGCCAATTCATGATTCTGGGTCTTTTGTTCTCTCCTCATTTTTAACTCAGGGCAACTGAGACAGATGTGGGTTAGAAATATGATGATTTCTTGTTGGACCTATAGTACAAAACACATCTCTTTTCTCTGGTATGGCCACATGAATATTAGAGCGCTGCCGCTGCAAACAGTCCTGCTTCTGAATCTGGGAAAAACAACAGAAAACATTGATGTTAGATTTGTAAATCTGATTTATGGCGCTTACTGAAAATAGCACTTTTCATAAGTAAGAGAAGACAAAAAGCAAGAGATAAACATTTGAGGTTATGCATGTAGTGTAGCTCTTCTCTGGGGCGACAGGAACTGAGAGCAATGGTGAGGGCAGAGAGATGGCATCAAAAAGCTTTAGTGAGTGAAGACTGAGAAAGGTGCAGCTTGGACCCAAACTAATCTTTATTCCCTCTCAATTACCTCCATGATTATTTAAAAAAATGAAAAAAGATGAAAAAAACACTCTAAAGTTCAGTTTAGTGTAGTGTCGTCTCATTGTCCCCCCCCCCCCTCGCACCTCCAAATGTTGCTCTTGGCTCCGAACACTGCCTGGTGCTCACCCAGTCTGTGAGACTTTGATCAGAAATCCCTGCTTAGATCAAATGCTGATTCACTCCTGTTCAATGTACTGTGTATTTTATTTATTTGATTTTGTTGTTATTGTTCTCTTAAGAATGGCATGCACCGTAACTTTGGCTGAGGACCTACACCGTATTACCATTACAGTCATGTGAAGACAGTATGCATCTTAATTTGGTCACAATCTAATTGGAATTAGACTAATCTACTACTTGTTGCATACTATATTGACTCCTCCATGTGGTTATTGATCCATACATTTAAAACTTTGTTGCTAAAAAGTTGTACGAAAGGCCCCCAGGACAAATCTTAGCGGTGGTCGTAATGCATGAAATGCGTCCAACACTTTGACAATGCTAAGCATGCGAAGTGTCTAATAGGCTGCTGTGCACATCGAGTCGTACCCAGCATTGGACAACGCGTTGATCTGATAGTTAAAACAGGATCAAATCCCTGGCGTTGACAGCAAAGCACTTCTTAGTTTGGTTCTACCTCCCCCTACATCATGGTATCCCGCCTCCGTGATAGCTAAAAATGGGGGAAAAGCTAGCGTAAACGTCTCCCCTTAGCTCATGTAATGCATGTAAAGCATTGAATTGATACACTGAAACATCTCATTGGCATTTAATGCAAATGTTTGCATGGATAATTTCCAAAGCAGCACTTAGACTGAATTCCCCTGTGAGGGGCAGTTCCTCGTAAGCCAAACAGTATGTGTGAAAAATGTACACTAATCTCTAAATGATCTTGAAGATACATCTCCCTCTCCGTCCTTATTGGCTTTCACTCAATTTCGGGGTGTGCTTCTTGAAAAAAGAAAGTGTTTTTTACAGTCCCACTCTAGCCAGATCTCTTTGAAAGAGGTGCATGCCATTGAAGGTATCTTATTTATTTTGTGTCTGATTTTTCTTGAGTTTTGTTGGATGTCATGCGGTTAACAGTTCCACCTGTCCAAAGAAACTCCTTTAACCAAGTCTCTGCGATGTGTTCAAAGTCACCTAAAACTCAAAAGGGGCTGGAGAAAACGTGCAATGCGGTCAAGTGGAAGGAGTCTCAGACTCACCAAACCGGAGCGGTGACCTGCCCCGAAAAGGGGACTCCCACTTTCATTTTTTTTTTTTGTGTTGCCACTTTCTGCCCCTGTGGGCCCTCTGGGACGATAAACCTCAGAATGGACGGCTCTGTTTGTGTGTCGGAACATGGCGGAATGCTAGAACATGGCGGAATGGTAGCTCCCAGTCGGGTGTTAGGTGGGACCATACCGGCAGAGCTGTTTTTTTATTCTGCTTTTTAACCTTAAATTACAGCTGGAAGTCAGATTTGGGAGTTTTAGAAGATCCTTTTTGCCAGACGCCACTCCGTCAGGAACGACAAAAAACGGTAGTTTTCTCCGGTTTCCTGCTGAATGGACTCTGCAAGCCTTTGTCTAAATCGGTGGGCTCCAATCCATCTTCTTCTACAGAAAGATGGCTCACGTAATTACCTGCTGAGAACCTTTTTCAAAGCCCGGCCTTTTACAAACACCCTCCGGCGGCGACTTCCCACTGGGCTCAGCTTCATCAGGTAGCCTTGATAGGTCAGTCTCTTGACCACCTTTCGGAGTTCGTTTGTTGAATAAAGTTTTCAAAGGACGATAGACCCCAGGAGATGCTCAGTGGGCCCAGTCGTCTGCCCATCCAGCCGCCATGGTAGAGTTCCAATCACAGAGGATTGTTCCCTGTCTAGGAGAAGCAGGCCCAACATGTCGGCCCCTCTGGAAGCAGAGCCCGAGCTGGACTCCATCCACACAACTCCTACTACTTCAATGCGTCCTTTTGCCGGGTGCTGGGGGGAAGTGACAGCTAATACTCTGGGAAATAAAGCGTGCCCTCACCGTTTTCTTTTCCGTTTCTGTCTTTAGCCCCATTGTTCTGCCTCCCTTGCACAAAGGAAAAACATACGAACCACCCTATTAATTTTTTTTTTGTAACAAAAGCTGTTGAACCACGGACAGACAAAGGAGCCACTGCCGTTCCTGGTTTTGGGACTATGGTTTTGGGGCTGAAACTATCTAATTTCTTCCCCTAAATGTCCAAATCATTTTGGGATGGAGTCTTTTGGTTTCTCCCTGGAGGCAGTAGCTCAGTTTGGTCCCACCCTGCTTCTGAGAAAGAACGAAAGAATGAGCTGTTGCGTTTACCGAGGGTTTCCGCTTTCATCCGGCTTCTCGGTTGTTCTTAGACGAAACTTAACTCCAGGTAGAAACTTGACATGTGATGTTTTGAGTTTTTTTTTATTGCCTGACACCAAATAAAAACTCAGAGACCCAGAGGGAGTATCGCAGGACAGGTGGACCAGTTAACCGTCATGCTTTTGTTTTGTTTTAAAAGAAAGATGATTTATCCAAAAACCTTTTGCAACACATTCCTCAAAAAAAAAAAAGAAAGAAAGAAAAAAAACAGCACGCACAGGAAACTGTACCTTCTGCATGATGGCGCTGAAAAAAAAGCCGTGCTTCAGAATATGTTTGTATTTATTTGTACTGTTGTTGGATTGATTTGCATCCGTCTGTCTATTTGTGTGCGGCTTGTTTTCCTTTGGTTAAATTTTATTGTTCGTCTTCTGAGTGAAAAGATGAAGGGGAAGAAGAACCCAATGTCGGACAGCAAATCCAGTAACCTCACTCCACGGACTCCACATGACGCTCCATTCCGAGTCCGAATGGTGCCCTATGTGGTGGCCCACCAGGAAACAAAAAAAAAAACACCACGTGCACGGTCGCCGTGCTTCTGTGCAGAGAGCTTTGTCCTGTTTTTTTCTTTTCTTAGGCTGCGTATCTGGTTGTCATTTATACCTCAGGTCCAACCATGTAAAAAAGCAGCTGATTGTATATTACAAACACAATAAGAATCAGGATTTTTAGACATAACCAACAGTCGGATTTTGGATAACTGTTGTTTCTTGATGTGGTTGTTCATACTCTTGTTATTCTTGTAGGACTTGTCTTTTCTGTTCCTTTAAACACACAAAAAAAAGACTCTTATGAGCCAGAATGCAGGTTTTCTCGAATACAATGCGGTATTCTCTCTAGCACATACAGCTACGGGAAAGTGGAATGTGCACACACACACAGCGGAGAAGTGACGCACCTCGAGCAACACACACTCTCCTTCTTCATCAGGTAGCCACAATTTGTGTAGGCGGATTATATGTATAATTATAAAGCTGGAGTCTGCCGGGTCTGTTTTAGAAGCAGGTGGGTGTGTTCGGCGCTCAGCCTGCAGAACACCGGCCCCCCCGGCTGAGACGCCGCCGGCACTGCCTCTGTGAAAGCTCCTTCAGCTTTATGTTTCGTCGCCTCGGACACCTTTTAGTCCCTTTCGGTCTTTCTGCCGGAGGACAGAGCGAGCACTAACTCCCCCCCCCGGAACACGAACAGTACTCTGTTGTAGTCAGGTCTTTACTTCCTGATGGGTAGAGCTGTAAGATGGGCTCCTTTTTGGGTAAGACATCAGGACTTGAACTCAAATAATGAATCCCGGACAGCTGCAATATATTCTCTTTGGGAGGGTGGAATGAGATTGACCGTTTTCTTGATAAGCCTTATGCTCACGCGGGTTACGTTTCATAAGAAATAGAAGAAAACACAAACTGAAGACCAGATTTCGACTTCACCTGTAACTCGTGACCTCCAAATTAGAAATAGACCCTCTCTGCCTCTGAGATTCCAGGTCAAATTCGCCCACTTTCTGTTTGTGTTTTGTGTCGCGCTACGACAAGTTTCCAGACAAAGATATATCCCGGTAGCTCTTCTCGCTGTGGCGGACGTCTCGCCCCTACGCCTCGTCGGGAGGCCCCTTACAGATGGCCGCCAGACAGGCTGCGCTCTGAGGAGGTGGACGGGATTGCGAGGAGCACATTTAAGCGAAGTAGAGAATAATAAGGTCGCCCGTCTCCGCCCCCGTGCCGCTGTTAGCCGTCGCGCTTTTGAACGAAGCGAGGCTGAAATCCCGTTTTCCAGCCGGCGTCTGGAGAGATAAGGGGGACTTTTAGGGGAAACGAGGGGCGAAACCTGCTGTGGGGTAACGAGACAGACGGTGGGAAACATCCAGGTTAAGGCTGTTAGCGCGGGGGGACTCGGAGGTGCCCGTGTGCGTTGCCATGACAACCCCGCAGCCTAGTGGGATGCGGCGGCGCGTCCGGCCCCTTCGGAAGCCACCTACGTCCAGCTGGCGTCTGCGCCTCTGGACTCTCAGCCGGCTCTCAGCTCGAGACGCCTCTGGGGCCGGTTTGGAGCTCCGGTCGGATCGTTTTTTCTCCTCGCTGTTGTCTTTTCACAGAGGCTTTGCCGTGCAATCTTCAGCTGTGGGGCAAAGTTCTGACGTCATGGCCCGAGGCTCTTTAAGGTTTCTTAGACGATTACCCTATTTAATATCGAGTCTTTTTCAGTACATTTGACACATCAGGAAACATCCTCAGTGCAATGTTCATGAACCCCTCCCCCAAAGAGACTCAATGTATTTTACAGGTAGTCAATGTTGCATCTCACAGACCTTATGTAGTTTTTTTTGTGGGGGAGGGTCTCAGCCTTCACCATCAGCTCGTGTGCATAAGCAAAGACAAAAACCTGCCCATAAACTGGTTTAGGTTCTGTTCACATTCTGTGGTCCTCTTAAAGCTCCTTTCTGGTTAGCTGTTTTCGGGAGATGGGTTCTAGACTCACATTGGTATCTTTGGTGTCTACGCGCCTGCTCGGTTAACGTCTGAGTTGTGGAGTCTACATTACGCGCAGAGGGTAGAGGAGCTCCAGGAGCTCCTGGGCGGCGTCGATAGGCAGGTCAGATAGGAATATCTCAGTGCCCAGTGTCCAGACAGGAAGTCCAGCAGGCGGCTGCTCCCGCAAGGGTTTTTAAAGATGTCCCACACTGGCTGACGGTAACTCACCACAGATCACTTGGATAGGGGTTATTGAAGAGCCTTGTTTATTTGATTTTTTTTTTATTTTCATTCTTTTTTAAATAATTCTCAATGTTATTTTTCAGCCAAATACTTTTCCAGTGCTTTATAAACAGCAAGGATTGTAAATCTGAATAGTTCTTATCAGGGGAGGCCCGTGCAGAAGTCAGCGGCCCACCTTGTGTTCATGTTAGTGATCGAACTTCTCAAACTTGGACTGTTGCCTTCCCAAATGTCAACGCTTACGGCAAGCCGCTCCGAAAACGAGCGCTCCGTTCTGAGTTTTTGCGAAGGGGAAAGTGAAGCTGTGTGTTTGTTCTTTCTTTCGGTCGTTGATGTTTTAACCATCTTGCTGTTTTTGGGTGTGCAAAAATGTAAAGAAGAAAAAACTTACAACACAGAATACCTCAGAAAGAAATCCCTGTAACCTCGACAGCCCTCACATACTGTCTGAACCGACCCTCGTCTTTCCTCTCCTAAGCACTTTCACGTCCCCGTTTTTTCTTTCCTCCGGTCCCCCGACATGCGTTTTTTCTGCCATGCCAAAAAAAAACCTCCCACCAACACCAAGAGAACCACACACCTTACGTGCGCTCCGCGGTCCTCCCGGGGGTCGGGCTATCCTCAAGACGCTCTCAGACGGTCTGACGCGTCGCTGTTTTTCTGGACGTCTCGGAAAGACCCGCAGAAGAAGCTTTGTCGGCCCGTGTAAACGACGGGCTTCACCACAACGGCAACAGAAAATCCGTTTTTTTTTTGTTTTGTTTGTTTGTTGGCAGTATAAGGCCAAAATGGGGAACACTTGAAACTACTCATCCCCCACATGGTTCTTTTGTATACCTCTTTACGTATCTACTCTTTATCTTTGTCAAATACTGAATGTAAAAAAAACACAAACACTACAAACCTCTAATTTAGCTATACATATTTAAGAATAAAAATGCTCTATATGTGCACATAGATATACCTATACAAACCCCACAGAGACACAAACAAAAATGCATTTGTAAATAGAAAATCTCTAATGTCATATACTTTTATCTTGAAAAGGAAGAGGATGAGCCTTTTCCTTCGATGATTCAGGGAAACAATACAAGTTCAGTGCAGAATGTCGGGTAAAATGACTCCTACTCTGTTGCTTTTTTGGTGTTCATTATCTTACTCAGTTCGTGCTTGTTATTACCCCTCGATGTAGCAGGGAAAAGGGCGATGGCGGCGAGGTTTTTCGTTAACAGAAGTAGTGAAGCTAGGATCTTGTGTAGTTGTAGTCCTTTCGAGTCTGATTCTGTGAAATGGGGGTGGGAGGGTGTGTGTGTGGGGGGGGTCATTCCTGCAGCAGACACTGTATTTATGACGATGACTCCGATGGTTGTACATAGAACTGCTTTCCCTATAATCCCTCACCTGCTTGTCACAGGCGAAGTGGACGAAAGAAGGATGGGATGGGGGGGTGGGGGGGTGGGGATGGGGGGGTGCAGAACCTAACAGACGGTGAAAATCATCTCCCTCAGCCTTGTAACGGTGAGGGACGGACAGTTTCAGGTCCATCCTCTTGATCATTTTGCATGCTGGTGTACATACCCTTGTATCGGTCCTTCGGCTTGACCGGGCAGGTCATCCTGAAAGCGCCTTTCTTTCCTTTCTTTTTTCTAATTGGGTGTTGTCAGCAGGACAGACATTGGTGTTTTAAATCGAAAATATTGTCCCCTGAGAAAAATGTGTCCCTTTCCCGTTATGGAGAGGCTCCTAAGGTTTGTGTCGCTGCAACAGCTTCGTAGTGGGTTTTTTTGGCTCAAACGGTTTTGCCGTTCCTCTTTTTTTTTGGGTCTCTGTAAAGTAATAAAGTATGTATGATTGTAAATGTGTGTGGCTGTGTGACAGATCACGGGAAAAACGTTCGGTTTCCGATTTTTCTCATTCCCGTCCACGCTTTAGCCTCCGAGCTGCTTTTTCGGAGCATCGTTTAACGTTTAACTCGAGCCACTCAATGGAACAGTGGGCAGGTTTGGCTAACCGCAGCTACGAACACGCCCCCCCCCCCCCCCCCCCACCGTGTGGAAAAAAAGACATGGGCTCAAAGCACCATGCCGACCCAAATGACATGACCCAGACATCCTCAGGGATCCACATCAATGCTCTCCCTCTTATTCAGGTACCTAATCTAAACTGAGGCCTACCAGTGATTGTTAACTCTGGTTTCTTTTCCCCAAACCTGCTCACAATCAGATGAATTCCAGCCAAATTTGAGTTAATCATTAGCAGTTTTAGCCATCAGAACTTTGTTTCTATTGTATTTTCTTTTCTATCTTTTAGCTATCTCTTCTCGGTTTGTTTAGTTTTTTTTGCTTTATAATTCCTGGATTCTTTCAAAGCCATCTCATGAATGTCAATCTTCTCAGTTCAGAACTAAAGAGTCCTTCTAAGCGCTCTGTTTTTCTCACTGCTTTGCATCAAGTGCCATGGCTGTGACTCTACTGTCAATGCAGGCGTCTGGTTTAGCGACACAGTCTAACGTCTGGAACACTTTGAAGGGAACCAACAGCACGTAGCTGGGAAATCGCATTTTAAACCACCTCTATCTTTGGTTTAAGAGCAGGGAGATCTGTTTCCTGTGACGTTTCCTCATTTGCTTTTCGACGTTTGAGACAGCTACTCATCTCTGCTGTGACTGGTTGTTGCTTCTGCTGTATGTTTGAGAAGTGTTGCTGCGATAAACCCGTTTGACGCCATGGATTTGGGACGTCTCCCATCACTCTGAGTCTGTTTTTCATGGAAAATGCAGTAAATGATTGGATATGCTATGAGCTTGACCCAAATACCGTTTAAAACTATCACATCGGTGACTTAAAGAAGTATTTACAGACTTGTGTTTCTTCGTAGGCTAAGAGTTTTTACGATTCCTTTCTGGATTCCTGATGTTCAGTGAACGGAAGAGTTAGCTGTGGTTGTTTTGGGAAGTACATTGGAAATTTTGCCCATAGGTTTGGACTGTTTGGCTAGAGAAACTAACGTTGTCTTTTCTTTGTCCTGCTGAGGTTTCTGACATGGCGTAGTCTGACTTTGGCTTGGGCTTGCTGGGCTCTTTTCCTGTTTCTCACTGAGATTTCTTTGGGTTTGACGATATACCTCATTCCTTCAGTCCAGCGGGTCCTCCGGGGCGCTGTGCTGATGCTCAGGATGTTCAAGCCCCCTGTCACAGTTCGGTCCCACCTTACTGTACCTCTCAAAACGAACACACACACACACAGACACACACACACACACACACACACAGACACACACAAACATCACGTACACTCCGGTTCTCCAAATATCCCGATGGACCTCATTTTTCAATATCTACTGTTTACAGTTTAACAAAAATTGTATAATTTAAAAAAAATATTTTTCTCATATTGTAGTTTTATTTATGTACAATAATTATTTGTTCTTATTTTGTACCTTGTGAGTTGGAACTTTTCTTCTAGGCTTATATTGTTGATGTCCATGTAAATGAGCACTTAACAAGGATCACAATAATCGGCTTGAGTTTGATTGACAAACTTTTCTTTTTCCTTTCTCCCTCTCCTTGTTTTTAATGCAAAAACCTTGTTTTTCTGGGCTAATGATTAATTCATAATCTCCATCTATGTTATTTTGGACCAACTGATGAAAGATGATTAGCATTGATATTATTTTTTATTCATTTTGCATTGAACATCAGATGACGTTGATTAGATCTGTCTTTGTGCATGTGTAAAATACTTTACTGGTTATGTTATATTCGATTTGGTAAAAAAAAAAAAAAAAAGGAAAAAAAGAAAATTGCCATTTTTGCCACACATTTCTGCTGTAATGTTGTGTAAGGTAGTATTCACTGGATGCTAGAACTTTCTTTTCAAAACCACTATTCTTCTAATAAATTTTGTTGTGAAAATAAAGCCGTCTGACTGACTGTGTTTAAACTGGCACAACGTTTTATTTCTGTCCCACCAGAACCTGAACATCGGTACACATTTCTTAAGTATTTCGAGCTTAAATTTTGTTTCGTGAACGAAGCAGACGTGATATTACGACCATCCCAAGTAATTAGTGGACAGATTAATGAATGATGGCCGCTCTACTTACAGGGTTCTACACATCTGGCACAATAACACGCACAATGTAATACAGAAAGTCATTTGAGGGACACTTCAAACACGTAGTATGCTTATTCTAGACATATACCTCTAATTATAGTAAACCAATGAGGCGTTTCCACTCCAGCTGGCAGCAGGTGAGAGGTGGGCATACCTTGGACAGGTCCAGTCCATCATGACCACACAGAGACAAACAACCACCCACAGGCAGAAGTTAGAAAGAAGTTAGTGAGACCAGTGGAGCTAACATGTATGTTTGTGGACGTGGGAGGAAGTTGTCTGTAAAGGACCAATGGGAGTTGAACCCCTATGCAGAAAACAGAACAAGACAAGAGTTCACTTCCAAGATGAACTGGAGTAGACAAAAAGTCCTTGCGCAAAACTAAAGGATAAAAAACCCAACGCTGCTGGAGAGTCGAGGGGGAAACACCACCCAAAAACAACAGGTGAGAGGGGAGAAAAGCACCAGGAGTGGACGAGATTTACCCTGGGAGGTCAAAGGCCCTGGACACGGTGGGGCTGTAATGGAGGTCTGGGGCCAGGCCTATGGAGTGGCAGACCAGGGGGGGTTGGTCCTCATCTTTAATAAGGGGGACCGGACAGTGTCCAACCCCAACAGGACCAAACTGATCAGCATCTCCAGGAAGCTTCAGACTGTGGATGAGGAATGTGTTCATTAGGCTGTAGAACGGAGGACATCATCCAGTCTCCCTGTGTTGTGGAGCTGAAGTCTGTAGGACGCCTCGGTTGGATATCCAACTCCTCCCACATTTAAGTCGGACATTTTGATTAGGTCATATGACTAGCAGCTTTCTGAGGTGAAAATGAAACTTTACTGTCAATAGGAAATCGGAGGATAAACAATGTCCCAACCCTAACCCAACCCTGACCCTAAACCTAACCCTGACCCTAACCCTCCACCCTTCATAATTGTGAGAAATGTTTTGGTTAAACTTGTTTGGACTTATTGTACAAACCTATTCAACAACCACTATTTTAACGAAATATTTTGTATAGAGTTTAACTCAGTGTTTGCAAGATTAATTTATCTATTTTTAAATGAATGTCTATATTGCCATGAGGCAATTACGATTTTATTGCCTTGGATCTTCCTATTGGTGACGTAATCAAAATGGCCAACTTGGATGTGGGCGGAGTTGGATATCCATCCATGGCTTCCTACAGATCTGGACTCTGCCGGGGTTTTGTCCTTTGACCACGGATTCAGATTTCTTCAGGCCAGGGCCTTCTGGGGCGGTTACTGCTCTTTTTTGATTTGCTAACACGTGACATTTGATGCGATTTGGCGCTACATAAATAGAAATTGAGCGAATTGAAAATTGTAAATGAAATGGGGTTCACACTCAATTCCCCAAACAGTAAAAATTGTGAATTGCTCTTTTCCTGCAGCCGGGAAACTTATTTTACTTTAAGTCTCAAAGTGGCCTGATGTGATAAGTTCTCTGATATTTACAGAGTTCCGCTGGTCCTTTGCTTTGTGTTTCACACTGACCACTGGCAGTAATGCAAACAGTGGTCTATCTCTGAGGAGATCTGGACGCGTGCAGCTCCACACTCTTTTTACTTTCCAATTCTGTAGTCTTCCATCTCCTCTGTTTTTCTCTGTTGCAGAGTTTGAGGAAAGAGACCTCTGCAGCAGAGCGAGGCACAAAAAGGCAAATAATTGGATGTGGGTCATCCTTCTATCAAATATTTATTTCTCCCTCTCTGCCTTAGGCTCCAAAAGGACTCCTTCTTCTGTTCTTTTATTTGTGTTGCACTCGTGTTTTCCTACTTTGCTCATTTGTAGCACAAGCACAAAATTAACAGACTATTTGGAGGTTCAGCTCTCATTAGGAGGTCCTAATTTTCATTCTATAAATATTCAAAGGGATGCTTGATGTTCATTTCTGTAGCATGGGAAAGCGCTGGTGTTTTTATTTAATTAGAAAATAAATAATCCTTAATGACTCTAATGTAACCCACAATAAATCTATGATTTATTATAATAAATATCACAAATGCCAAGCACCCATTACTAAAGCAAACTACTAAGGATGCTAAAGGGTTTGGATATTGTGAGGAAGTCCAGATGGACAAGCATTTTAATGTGCCAATTCAAAGTTTAAATTATCTCTCCAAACTGCTGCTGGGACATAAAAAGCAGGCACACACTGATCAACGTTTTTTTCCTCCAATTTTCTCAATTCTCTTGTCTCATATTCACGAAAACACCACATTTGAGACGGTGGAATCAATGGTAAATGAGAAGGAAATGTTGACCTGTTGGCTATAAATGTAATTCATTTACTTCCAGCACC